TGAAATGCGAAGCGACTTTACCTATATCTAGATTTTAGTTTTCACAGTGGGTTTTTCACCTTTTTCTCGCGTAGGCTAATGGGTAAAAAGTCTAAAAAAGTATCTACTATATATAACTTTTAAAGTTCTACCAGAATCCGGAGGAAATCATATCGTTAGAAATATTCAACTGTTTTTAATCGTGAATTACGGACAGGATGAGGGTAGAATAAGGAAAAGCACTTTTCATCGAAGGGTTCCTAGTGTACTATATACTTTTAAATGTTAATACAACTATGTTAGTTAAGCTAGGTTTTTATGCTCTATCCGAATATGTCATTAAACTGAATAATAAAAGCGGACATTAGGTCGAAAATTGCGATGTACGAGTAGAAATCGTGAATTGTCTTCAGTGTTCATCAAGACTTTCGTGTTTCTGATCAATGTAACTCAAGTTGTTTTATACTTGTTTATGCTAGAAATATGCATCGATACTTTTATCACAATGCACGAAAAGTTTCAGTTACAACGAGCACTTTATTTTCGAGCTGCTGGCTAGATAACAAATGCACATGTTTTACAAAGAACCTGGCAAACTCAGCTTCATTGAAAACGTTGTAATTCAGAAAGAATGGTTCCATTTAGGCTGAAATGTTTAGTGTATTACAAGGACCATGAAACCTCTTCATTTGCGAAGCTTAAGGTTAAAGTTTGCACATTCGATTTTTCTTGATATGCCACAGCATGATCTGAAAATTACAGTAAAGTAGCGATAATTCCAGAAGAAAAACGTGTGGATATCAATACTTTTAGGATTCTTTTACTTACAATATATCTTGCTGAATAGAATCGTTGGTATCGCAAAAACAGTTTATCATCTGAAGGGATTTACAAACAAATATCGTACGTTATACTCATATGAAATCAACTTACTCTTCCTTATAGTAAATTACACTTATGCTACCGTTCTCAATAGAAAAAGAAGTATTTTTTGCGCCAAATATCAAAGCAAGCTATCTACGGATGTTTCCAACACAATCGAGCATAAAAAGACTTGAGTAATCTTGATCAGATATACGAAAATATTGATGAATAATGAAGAAAATAGGCTATGTTTGCTCGTATATCGAAATTTTCAACCTAATGTCTGCTTTTATTGATTAGTTTAATGACATATTTATATACAGCATGAAAAACTCTACCTCTAACTAACACAATTACATCATCGTTCGAAAGTATATAGTACACTGGAAGCCCTTCTACGAAAAGTGTTTTTGCTTATTCTACCCTCATCCTGTCTGTAATTCACGATTAAAAACAGATGAATATTTCTAACGATCTTATTTCGTCCCGATTCTAATAGAGCTCTGAAAGTTCCATATAGCAGATTTTTTCCGGACTTCTTACCGATTAGCCTACGCGAGAAAAAAGTGAAAAACTCATTGTGGAAACTAAAATCTAGATATAGGTAAAGTCGCTTCATATTTCAGCAGTTGCAAAGTTATTTTCCAAGAAAATGCACAAAAATTTTTTGACTTTGCTGGGAAAAAACAAAAAAAGATTTCTTCCTCGGGGAATGTCATACTTCCGGCAACCTCTCATTAGGGTCATTAGGGTCATTAGAGTCCATCGAGTCCGGAATTTTTGGACTTGGTCAAACCGTACTTTGATATTGTCAATGAAGTTTTCTAATTGAAACTGGATATATGTTCACAAGATACGAGATACTTTTTTTTCCAATTTTCTGTACTTGGTGATTAGCTGACCCTACATATTTCTTAGACTGCTAAAGTCTATCTGATCCAAAGTTTTCGGACCGGACCCAGTCATCAGAAAAATTTCAAGTTCAGATTCGGTACCAACTCTACGAACTCGACAGGTCATTCCTGGATATGTGTACGTATATGTTTACGAATTATTTTCTATTATAGATTAGAATCGATTACTTTTTGCTATAGTTTCATTTCTAGCTGTTATTTTTTACTTTGTAATGAATAAGAATCTAAGGTTAGAAGTGATGTCTTTTAGAGTTGATGATAACAGTACTTAATTAAAAGAAGATCAAAAATTTCAAACTACTTATAAAACTATATTAAACTTGATTATTATTAGTAATTGTTAACAATTTTGTCTTCTACTCCTCTTCTCATAAACTATTTTGTTTTATTTTTTTGTATACAAAAATACTTTTCCTTGTCTTAATAGTATTTAGTGACCTTCTGCAGTGACATCACCGCTCGTATGAAGAGAAAATGAGTCATTGAAAAAGGTATTGTCTACACATCGTGTGTTACTGTTATTTATTGCATTCTTTTTATTTTATGCTTCGTCATGTTGACGAAGTTGACTACGCGTATAAAGTGGTTTATATTATATTTTTTTTCACTTTTTTCAAATCTTTTATGATGATAAAGCAGAACTTGATCTTTGTGTTCTTTGATTAGAATTGATATAGACAATGATACTAAAAGTTTGTATGTCATGTTGCGTTAATTTTTCTTGCTTAGTTGGTTTGAATCATCTTCCCAAGAAATGAGAATTGTTTAATGAAGGTTATTTGATTAATAAATAAAAATAAAAATTAAAGACTAACAAAAGACCAATTATTAATTCAAATTCAGTCAACTTATCTTAAATTGTTACTTTATTCAGTATATATGTTAATCTGAAAAAATGACTAATTGAATATTTCACCAAATGAAAAGTATTTCATAGTTCTTCACTATTCATTTCAATAATAAATTTCTTGATTTTAGCTCATATTTCTTCTGCATTTGTATATCTTTTTGATTTGTTCTTTGATATAAACGAGTATACATTCATTGACATTTTCTCATCATCATTTTTTTTTTTATCAACAGCAAATATACTTTAAATGATCAAAGAACAACAAGGTTAGATATCTTCAATAACGAACAAAATAAATATCAGATATCAAAACTTTATTTTTCTAACGTTTTTCGATTTACATATCATCATATCATGAATTAGTTTTCATGATATTTCACTTAATTATTTAAAAACATTAATTTTATATTTTTTCTCTTGCTTTTTTCTAGACTGAAATTGGTGATGGGTTCGAATGGTTCACGTTCAGCATCTCGTCACAATATGACAGCACAAGATATTGTAAATGAATGTGGTGAAAATAATAATGCTAAAAATCTACACATTCTCGTTACAGGTGCAACATCTGGTATTGGTATTGAAACTAGTCGAATATTAGCACTTGCTGGAGCAAAAGTTTATCTCATGGGTAGAAGTGAAACAAAATTACAACAAGTTCTAGAAAATATAAATAAAGAATTACAAGAAAAATCATCGAATGGTTCTATACAAAGTGTTATTTGTGATTTGAATAGTTTACTTAGTATTAAACAATTTGCAGAAAAATTTACAAAAGAAAACACACCTTTGAATATTTTAATACTCAATGCTGGTATATTTAATTATAATTTTGCTCAAACTGTTGATGGTCTTGAACAAGTAATGGGTGTTAATCATATTGGTCATGCATATTTAACACAATTATTAATGCCTACTTTGATAGCTAATGCACCATCAAGAATTGTTATAGTATCATCAGATTATCATGCAGGTCCACCTTTAAATTATCAAGCTTTAGATCATATGAATAGTACAGGAAATGATGCAAAAAAAGATTGGGGTATGCTAAGAAGTTATCAACAAAGTAAATTAGCTAATTTACTTTTTGCTCGTGCA